TGAACATTTGTAAATACATACATACGTATGTATTTACAAATGTAAACTCAAACATTTGTAAAAACATGCATGCATGCATGAACACTTCCGAACAAGCATGACAACAACAAGCAGAAAAACAAGTTATCAAATGATAAAAAAATGTATCTACAAGCATATTTACACTCCAAAACTGACAAACAAACACACAGACACACACACACACATTCACACAATTTCCCATACATACATACAAACAAACAAACATCGACAAACACATTCACGTACATAACTGATGTTTATTAATGATTAATTATTTGCCCGGCCACCTGCTCACATAATTTCTGTTTATTTTTCTCAGAACACATGCATGCATGCATGCACACATACACACGTGCATGCATACATACAAACGTGCATGCATACATACACACGTACATACACAACACACATAGAAACATACACATATCGAAACATACACACAGACATATGCGTAAACACACGAACACAGACACACATTAACAAAAAGGCCTAGGCATACATAAATACAAACACACATTTGTGAATAGACACATGCACAGATACACATACGAACATAATCAGTTAACCCAGACATACATACTAACAAAAAATGTTTTCACGCATACATACACAAACAAACATGCATACATGTACAAATACACATCACAGTCTTAAGTATATAAAATTATGTAAAAATCTTCAAGTACAATAAACACACGCAAATACATACAAACAAACAAGCAAGATGAGGTTTATGTGAAAAAATCGTTATGAAATGATTAAAATTAAATAGTGCACGCACGCACACATATCCAAACACACACACACACACACACACATCACACCAATCTGTATACATATTTTACACGAGACTATCTGATATGCAGTTGTTTAAAAATATCACAGCATCACATGCATGCAATGTTGTGATATTTTTAAACAACTGAATATAAATGTGCATATGTATATGTATGTATGTATGTATATATATATATATATATATATTATTTATATATATATATATATATGTGGCGGTATGGGGACCATAATTGATGCAATATTTGATAAAATCTACCGAATTTGTAGCTTTTGAAAGCTTACGATTGAGCTTTTCAATATTTCTAACAGTAATTTTGTAGTTATAAATTGGATAATAAATATAAAGCTACTGTTAAAAATATTGAAAAGCTCAATCGTAAACTTTCAGAAGCTCCGAATTTGGTATATTTTATCAAATATTGCAAATATTTGATTATAAATATTTGATATGAAATATTGCATAAGTCTTATTTGGATTTTTTACAAATCATTTCCAATGCAGGTTTGGTTCCTTTACATTGCTTAGTTTGAAGAAAGAAACTATACAAACCAAGCCTGCACCGGAATGAGGCCTACCTGCACGGTGAATTGAATTTGGATAACAACAGTTTTCTTTAATTCTTATGATGAACTTGGATAATAGTTCTATTTTCAATAAATCGAACAATTTCCAGAAAATTCTAGTAAGGAAAATTGAAAAGACAAACTTTAAATTGATTAAGGCCAACGATTCGGTTGAATTCATACAATACTGTATATATATATATATATATATATATATATATATATATATATATAATATATTTATAATATATGTGTGTGTGTTTTTGTGTTAATATAGCTAAAAATAATATTATATAAAATTGAGCAATCTATTTATCTATAAAAATGTTAAAGATATTAATGATGATGAAATTCGGTGAACAAGACATGTGGCATATGTGGCGTGTATGGTGATATTTTGTGTTTTTGCCTGTGTGTGTTTGTGTGTTTGCTTGTGTGCTTGTTTGTGTGTTTGCTTGTATATTTGTTTGTGTGTTTGCTTGTGAAATTTACGTGCGTGTGTGTTTGCGTGTGAAAGTGAACGTGTGTGTGTGTCCATGTACGTGAGTGTATGTGCTGTGTGTACGGGCAATTTAATGGTTTATGAGTCTAGATTACTATATGGCTCTATCTAAATGCAAATCATGGTAGTTACAAGAATTTTATTGCTGTCATTGTTATTCAGTCTGTCTCCTTATCTTTACATTTTAATGTCATTATGATGGTTGCTTGTTTGTTTGTATGTTTGTACACGTTTGTTTGTTTGTTTGTTTGTCCATGTTTGTTTGCATTTGCATGTTCTTTCATTTGTTTATAATTTTGTTTGCTTTCAGTTTCAATCTGTTAACAAGGAAGGTATCAATAAATTCAATTAGCGGATATGTGAAAGTGTGCCCGCTGTTACATTTATCCGTGAAACGATGATGAGGCTGATGATGGTGGTGATGATTATGATGGGGATAATGATGATGATGATGGTGGTGATGATGATGATTATGATGGGGATGATGATGATGATGGGGGGTGCTGGATTTTGAGGCTCGTATATTTAATGGCCTAGTAGAGGATGTTCATTTTTATTTCTTGATAAAAAAAAATGTATCAAATTTATAAACTTTGTTTTTTTTTCACCAAATTGATCGCTATTGATTCTGAAACGACTTCGCAACGAAGCGCGGAAAAAATTTATTGAAAGAAAAAATTTATGAATTAAAATATTTCAATTAATTTTTTCCTATTTTAATTGAATCGAATCATGTTTTGTAAAAAAACTAAAAAATAACTATGAATTAAAATATTTCATTTCATTTTTTCATATTTCAATTGAATCTGATCATGAAAAAGTTGTGTAAAAAACAAAAAATAGCTTCAAAGACAGAATTGTGAAAGGTTAATTCGGAAAGAAAAGCTTCACTAACATTGACGATGTGGTCCATGCAAGGAGTTTTTAAGTATCTGACAACACAATCTTTCGGTAAAAGTATTTTTTTCTTAACAAATTGTTTGCTTTATTAACAAATTGTTTGTTAACTGTTACAATATAGAATGTGAAGTTTAGACTCTTAATTACAAACAATTAAATTAATTAATTGAAAAACTAACAAATTGATTATTTAATTTGTTAATAAATAAATAAATAAATTAACTAATTAATTAATTATAAAACTAATTAATGAGTCATCATCAGGTGAAGAGATTATCATCATGAGTTGGATTAAAATTTAATGCGGCTACTTCGGACAAGTGCCAATGATTTATAAATGAAAAACTCTCAATTATTAATCATCTATTATTATCGTTGATATTGTTATTATCATTATTATTATTTATTATTATTATTGTTATTGTTGTTGTTATTGTTGTTGCTAATATAATCAAACTTGTGTGCAGTTCAACTGAACAAATGTTTAAATTATAATAGTTATTATTATTATTGTTAATATTTTATTGTTATTGTTATTATTTTATTGTTATTGTTATTATCTTATTGTTATTATTACAAATTGTTTTCCAACATAAATGGCTTAGATAGATTCAAACGATGAATTAAAAAATTTCAGCAAACAATCTGATTACCATTTACAGTTTGATCATATCGACATGCAATTAATACATACAATTAATAACTTTAAATAATTACCACTAATTGATATTATTAATTTTTAAATAATTATCAATTAATAATAACCATTAATAATTATCAGCGAACTCAATTAAGATGATGGATGAAGAATTAACGGAAAATCATTTCGTGGCACGCTCCAACGGTACTGATGCATTTCAGACATCTTTTATTCTTCTCCATCATGTATGTCTTTATATACACATGCATATTTATAGTTATATATACATGAATATATAAGAATATATGTATAAATTGATGAGCATGGATATGTATGTATATATATATATATATACAATACATATACTTGTATATAGGTATTATATATATATATATATATATATATATATATACACACATACACATACAATACATATACTTGTATATATGTATATAAGAAGATATATACAGGCCTCGATAATAGGCTTTCTAGTTTCATATGATTGTGAATGAATGGACATGCGTTACTATAATATTATATTGTACGCATTATTGGTGTGTATTGTGTTTTTATTTAAAAATATAGCCACAGATATTAAAATATATTGCAATTGCATTGTATTGTTTTTATTTATATATGATTATTTAACCTTCCTACTATATAAAAAAAAGTGTGTGTAATTGTGTGTTTGTGTGTGTGTGTGTAAGCGCGTAAGATATAATAAAAAAATGAATGAAATAAACAGCTATATATATATATATATTAAATGAAACCGATTAACTAAAAAGCAAGGTATTTAAATAAATTGTTGAATGTGGTAGATGTCATTCTGCGTGCATGTCTGTTGGTCTGCTTGCCACACATCAAAGACATCACTATGTTACCTTATTCATTGAAATTAACTCAGTAACTCAATGTTTAATTTCAAATACGTAACTTATTTACCTTTTTTATGGCATTCTTTTCTATTTCTGGCTTAATTTATCGCCTACACGCTCCAGCAGAGTCTAATTTTGGAAAGGATAAAATGCTTGTCACGCAAAAAAAACTTTTCCTCTACCGTAATTTTTCTGCATTACAAACTTCGCCGTCAAATGAAAATTAATTTTTATTTTTGCATTGCCATATTTTAAAGTTGTTAAAATTTGTGAAACGTAAATAATAAATTATATTTTGCATCATGGTATGCGGATAGTTGAGAAGGTGAAGTCGTTCGTTTTTCGTACTGTCGTCTCGAGGAACCCGGTTCGACTACAGTAAGAATCCCGACCGTTACGTTTCGATGCGTCTTAGGATGGGCACGAATTAGTTCACGGTCGCAGAAGTGATTCGGGCATAAGAACGATCTAAAAATGAATTAAAATCTTTGAAAATGGTCAAATGTAGAAAATAATCTCTAAATGTTCGAAACGTTGAAAGCGTCAAGTCTAACGATTGGACGCTAGTTAGAGAGGTTTGAAAACTGTATTGAGCGCATTTGCAAGCGGCGCATATTTAAACGTCCCTCAGTCTTGAGCAACAATCACGCGAGGCAGCAACACATTCCTATCCTACAAACAACACAACACAACACTACACAACACAACACTACACTAAGCAGGTATATCAACGACACAGCACAGCACATACAACAACACGCATCATATACAACACTTACCACACAACACGATTTCATAGCTCACACATCACGTATAATACGACACACAACTCATCATCACACACGCACAACAGACATCACACAACACATACAATACAACAACACATATCACACAACACATATAATGCAACAACACATCACACAATAAAAGACAACCCATCGCAAATCGGGATAGAATACATAGAAGGAGCTGAGGAATTCGTAGAAGATCGTCGGCCACACAACATGGCATGCTTGCATCTGCTAGTGCAGGTCCGCCACATCAACATCCCAACAAATCATGAGAACTTTTTAAACGTCATTTTAATTGTGAAACCTTTTCAAAATTTGTAAAAAAAATTGCTTAGAAAATAATATGCGGAGTATTAACACGAAATACCTCATAACAAATGATAATTCGAAATCAGTTACTCTTTATTTTTCATCATTTCAACCGAGCACTCAACAAACATATCGACCAACCAATCAACAAGTCAACCAACCAATCACATTTTATATCTCTTATCTGTGTGTGCACCGCTTTAAACCAGCACTGTATTTGCTTGTAACCACAAAACAGAACCACCAATGCGAACGAATAAATCAAAAAACGAAAAATGAAATCACCATCTCCAAACGTAACGACGCTCCTTGCAAACCAGCATCATTATCATTATCACTTATTATTATTATTCCTGTTATTATTATTATTGTTATTATTATTGCTACATCATCATCATCATCATCATCATTAATCTTCTTCTTATTATTATTCATGTTGTTTTTCTATTTTATTTTAAAGCCATTATTAATGTTGATGCATGGAATAACGAGCGGTTCCAGTGCTTATTCCTAACTACCATTCTCTCTACAACTTTTCCATTCGGCTTTCATTTCATCATTCTGCCTCGATCACTAAATAACATAAGCCTGACATTGTGGACGAGCAAAAGTTTATTGTTGGAAAAAAAATTGAAATCAATTATTAAAAAATGGGAAAAAATCTTTTATGATTAATTATTGCAAACAAGAGAATTGCCAATAAATCATAATGAACATGCCATTAAATATATAGGCTATATTGTGCACATGGGACTGGCGCTTTACATCATAATACACATTTAATGCTTGCATTGTGGTTTGTTTGTTTGTATGTATGTATTTGTATGTATATTTTGTATGCTTTGTTTGTAAGTAAAAATGTATGTTTTGTTTGTTTGTATGTATGCATGCGCATTTTTATTTATATATATATGCATGAATGTATGTATGTACGTTTTCATTTATGTATGTATGTATGCATGTATATATATGTATGTATGTATGTATGTAGATATGTATGTAGATATGTATGTATGTATGCATGTATGTATGAATGCATGTATGTATGTATGTATGTATGAATGCATGTATGTATGAATGCATGTATGTATGAATGCATGTATGTATGTATGTATGTATGTATGTATGTATGTATGTATGTATGTATGTATGTATGTATGAATGCATGTATGTATGAATGCATGTATGTATGTATGAATGAATGCATGTATGCATGAATGTATGTATGTACATTTTTATTTATGTATGTAATATAATTTTTCTGACATTAATAAACTAAAAAGAATTATAAAAAAGTTGAACAATGTTGAAAGTAGTGTTGAATTTTTGAAATGTTGCGTTAACAACAGTCTGTTACCAAAAAAAGTATGTAATATATATGAATGTATGTATACATGTATGTATGTATGTATGAATGCATGTATGTATGAATGTATGTATGTACATTTTTAGTTATGTGTGCATGTATGTAATATGTATGCGTGCATGTATGTATGTATTAGGGATGCACCGAAGTTCGGCCCTGGCTCCGGTCCCGGCCAAAATCCGGCTTTTTTTCAAATCCGGTGGAATCCGGCCCCGGCCGGATTTGGTGGCCGGATTTAGGGCCGGATTTAAGCGTCTATCAACTTTTAAAAATGTTAGAAATAGAAAAAAAAATTTCATTGAATTCAATTAATTTTATGTCAATAAGTTAATGGCTAAAGCTAAGCTAAAGGCATACAAGACACATAATAACAACATCACTAATTGTGAGGTGATCTGGACAATTTTTCTTTAAGCTATAACATGGGTTATGCATAAATTATAAGCTGATCTTTGTGTAAAAGAACTTGTGCACGTGTATATACTATATATTGATAATTGCACATGACGATATATAGATGTTGGTAAGAGAGAGAGATACATAAGCACATAATTTAAGAACATGGTATGTTAAAGGTTAAGCTAGGTATACATGACACATAATTACAACATCACTAATTGTGCGGTGAGCTGGACAATTTTCTTTGTGCTTTAACTTAGGTTATGCAAATATGCATAAATTATAAGCTGATCTTTGTGTACAGAATTTGGCGTATCACACAACTTATTCATATATTTGAATTAAATAACTATTTGCATGGTGTTATTTTTTGATGTTCAACATGCAGATAACCGTAAATGTGAGTATTTTTTCTAACGTATGTAAAATGGTAACTAAAATCCGGCTCCGGCTCCGGCCCCGGCCGGTTTTTGAATTTCAAATCCGGCCAAGTCCGGCCCCGGCCGGATTTGAAAAACCTGAATCCGGTGCATCCCTAGTATGTATGCACGTTTTTACTTACGTATAGTGTATATAAATGTAAATATGTATGTATATATTTATTTTTATGTGTGTGAATTAATTCATGTGTGTGCATGTCTTTCTTTATACACGTATGAGTACCTCCACATTAACATGTTTGATTGCTGTGCTTTATTTTTTACGTACGGATCTACGCGTGTATGTTAGCGTGAGAATGGAAAAGTTAGTTGGCGTGCAAGCGCACATCAGTGGTCGAGTGTACAATCTCCGGCACTTCCTCCCACCCTAAGAAACATTCTCTTGCCAGCTGACCACAGTTACCCGGCCCGTCACGCACATTAACGCAGATTGTTTGTAACCAAGTGTTACTCCATTGCAACGGATCAACGCCCCGCAAGCTGACAACTCACAACAAACCACACAACAACGTGAAACAAACCCCAACAACAACATTCCTTCATTACAACAGAGATTCACTATGGACGTACACTGGATATCCTATCTACCTAGGCATGCACTTTTGTATGTTCGTGTCATCAATTCACTGTTCACTGCATATCTACCTATGCATGCACGCATGCAGTTCTTCCTATTCGTGTGTGTGTGTGTGTGTGTGCGTGCGTGTGAATTGTATTTATACTTTAACACTGCCACACGCACAAACACTTACTAAGGGGAGGATAAACAAAATGCGAACAAAACCGCCACACGCGGGCAACCAGGACTGCATTCCAATCTTGTAAGGTTTTGAAAACTTTTGAAAACATGTTTAATTAATTTGTTGAATCGTTGAATTACAAGAAAATGTAAATTAATTAATTAATCAATCAATCAATTATAATTAATTAATTGATTGATCAATTCAATGTACACATAAAATAATTTAATCTGAAATGGTTCATGTTAGAAAATGTGATTGAAGAAGGATCAGTTTTTTTTAATAAAATCTCCCAAACACCATGTATACAATAAATTTCAACATATCCGTACCTGACTATGTTTATAAATACACATGAGCACTATTAATCACTCATTCACTCACTCATTCACTCACTCATTCACTCACTCATTCATTCATTCACTCACTCACTCACTCAATGATCGAATGAATGAATGAATGAATAAATGAATGAATGAATAGATGAATGAATGAATCAATCAATCAATCAATCAATCTTTCTATCAATCAATCAAATATAAAAATAACAAGTCATACGCAAGCACCAACTTTCAACCAATGATGAGTATGTATACAAGTAGAACAAAAATCAAGTTCCATAAACACATACAAACCCAACAGCACATACAGACTCATACAAACAACAACACATACAAACCCATCAACACCACATACAAACCCATCAGCACATACAGACTCATACAAACAACAACACATACAAACCCATCAACACCACATACAAACAACAACAACAGCCCATACAAACACAAAAACAACGACGCATACCAACAGACAGACACAAAAAGACATCAATCAAGTTTGCATTATAATAAATATTTACACATGATAAACGTTCAACTGTGACATCCGGTGATTAAAAATATTTTTTGGTTACACATTCCTCGATTATGGGTCATGACGAACAATTAGGACAGATTTGATTTTTCATCTGGTAGCAGTGCCTGAATATTTCGTCAATCAATCAATCAATCAATCAATCAATCAATCAATCAATCAATCAATCAATCAATCAATCAATCAATCAATCAATCAATCAATCAATCATTCAATCAATCAAATTATCAATCTTTTAATTAATTAAATAATTAAATTATCAATCGTTCAATTAGTAAATAAGTAGGTTAATCAAATTATCAATCAATCGATCGATCAATAAATAAATCAACAATCAATCAATCAACAATAAATTGGAATATATAATTCACCAAAACTGTCTCAATCAATCTCTATCACGGTCACCGAGCAACTGATAAACGAACCAATGTAACAACCAACCAACTAACCAATCAGTGAAACGATCAATCGGGAAACTCAATGAACACTACAACCACCATCACCACACCACCATCATCGACACTACACCACAAAGCGGAACACACTACACAAAACACCACACACAACACACGAAACACCACACTCAACACACGAAATACAACACACCAGAGCCACACAACAGACAAAATACAACACAGCAGAGCCACACAGCACATGAAATACAACACAGCAGAGCCACACAACACACGAAATACAACACAGCAGAGCCACACAGCAGAGCCACACAACAGACAAAATACAACACAGCAGAGCCACACAACACACAAAATACAACACAGCAGAGCCCCACAGCACACGAAATACAACACAGCAGAGCCACACAGCAGAGCCACACAACACACGAAATACAACACAGCAGAGCCCCACAGCAAAGTCACACAACACACGAAATACAACACAACAGAGCCACACATCCCACACAGCAGAGCCACACATCCCACACAGCAGAACCACACAACACAGCAGAGCCACACCACACAGCAGAGCCACACAACACCCGAAATACAAAACAGCAGAGCCACACAGCACACGACTACCCACAGATGCATGAGGCAGGAGCACTTCGGACAGACGGTGGCAGTGCAGTCGAATGGGAAGAGCAGGTCACCGCCGCTTTCGTGCCTGCATATCATGCAACGCTGACCCTTCTGCTGGCATGTCTGTTGGTTGATTGGTTGGTCACGTGATCATCATAATTATCATCATCGTCGTCGTGGTCATCATTAAGGTGTTATCATTATCAAATGATGGTGATGATGTTTATTACGATGATGATGATGTTCATTACACTTTAGGACACTATATGCCACAAACTTCCCACATACACACATACATACATACATACAAACAAACAATCGGTGATACTACATGCATGCTTTATGCATGCATGTAAGGTATAGTTTATAAACATAATGGCATTAAATACATTAGTTAATTCTGTTGATAGAAATATTGTCTTTAATGATTTGTTATTTTATATAATCAACAAAATTGATATTTTCGATAATATTTTGTATGAAAAATGTTCTGAGTTTTACGCAGCAGCTTTTATTTCTGAATCCAAAGAACTTATTGCAACGGAATTGGGAAAGCATGTTGAAATTAAAGAAAAGAAAGCTTCAAGGTTCCAAAGCTAGTCCAAAAGCTGAGGTCGAAGATATTGTTAACTTATTGAAATTAGCAAAAGAAAAAGGGGTTTTTGATAAATTGCCTTTGTACTCGGCCGGGAGCCTGAATTTTCCAGATTTTTCTGGTAAAAAAACTATCGATGGTCAAAATGACATGAATAAAATAGTGAAATTGAAAATAAACTAATGAACATTGAAGATAAAATCATTCGTCTAACAGATTTGTTTGAAAAGTTCATGGTTGCCGTTAAACCAAACGACCAGATTATGCACAATGATAAAAATTCAACAAGTACGAAAATTGAATCACTAGCAAATTCCATAGAAAATCTTTCCGCTAAATTAGAAAATATTAAAATTCCTATGGCGTCGCATGATACTTCCCATGTTGCTCAGCACCAAATGTCGTCACTACATCAGCGTCAGTTTCAACAACAACCGCAAGGTAACCTTTTGAACCAAATCCGAAATATTCAACAACAGGTACACCCTCCACCTTTGGGTCAATCTTATTCCGATGTTCTTAAAGATGATGGTTTTTCAATCGTCCAGCACAAAAAAAGTAACAATTCTACTTTGAAAAAAAATGACGTTGACTTGAATAATTTCCATAAACCAATAAAAGGAAAATGTACGATAGTGAATGGTATAATTATGGGTAACAAAAAAATAGAAAAAAAAATCTGTTTTTCACGTTGGTAATGTTAAAAGGTGTATTAAACAAAAAATAATTGACCATTTGTCATCATTTAATATTAAAGTTGTCAACTGCTATCCGTTATTTATTTTATTTATTTATTAATCGTCCCAAAACGACTGATGAGTCGGAATCAACTTCGTTTAAAATTATAATAAATGCTGTGGATGAAGATAGCTTTTGCAATCCAGATATTTGGCCAGAAAATACTCTGGTGTCTAGATGGATATTTGAAAATCAAAATATTCCCCAATATGGATGAACCATATGAGATCTCGGACATATCACTTGGTAATGATCTTGACGATGATGATGTTGATTTTGTTGATAACAATATTACTTTTAATGATAACTTACAACAATTTCATAATAATAAGGATAATAATGTAACTTTATTTGATCACAATTTTGATCCTGATATGAATTTTTTTCATAAATTATCTTACAATTCAAATTATTACATGCCATTAGAGTTTAAGTTCAAAAAGCTAAGCCATAACCATAAATTTAAATTAATGCATGTTAATTCAAGAAGCCTGTTACATAAAATTAATGATTTGAATATTCTTTTGCATGAATCAGAATTTAATGCTGATGTTATTGCTATCACAGAAACATGGCTTAATGATTCATCCGTACATTCAGTGCAGATTAAAAACTAAAATTTTTTATTTAAAAATCGCCTAACCAGACAAGGAGGTGGTGTTGGATTTTTTGTCCGTGATGATCTTATCTATATAACTAGAGATGACCTAACTTTGATAATGGATGATATTGAAATAATGGCCATTGAAATTATCCGTAAATCTAAAAACATTATAGTGTTTGTGATGTACAGGCCACCTAATACAGATGCTTCAAATTCTATTGAACTCATTCATGATTTCATAAATAAAACTAAACGAACAAATAGAAAAATTATCTATATCACAGGCGACTTTAACATAGATTTGTTAAAAAATGATTGTCGCAATATTCAATTAGATTTTTCAAATATGTTGTCATATAACAATCTTGTACCATTGATCACAAATCCTACGAGAATAACTGATCACTCGGCCACCCTATTAGACAATATATTTACAAACGATTTTAATTCGCATTTTTCTGGAATTTTTGTATCTGATATATCGGATCACTTGCCGATATTTTCATTTTCTAATTTTAAGAATGAAGTTGATAATGTTGGTGGGTTTGACTGTGTTAAAAGGAATTTTTCTTCCCGCAATCTTTGTGAGGTTAACAAATGCTTGTCTACAGTTGATTGGTCATCGGTAGTTGATTCCTTGGATGTTGATGAAGCGTTTGATAGTTTTATTAATATTTTACAGGAAGTCATTAAAAAAAATTGTCCCCTACAAAAAACGAAACTAAAACTCTTAAAAAATCCTTGGTTTACTCGTGGGCTAAAAACTGCATCAAAAATAAAAAATAACCTTTATAAAAAATATTTAAAAAACCCCAAGGAAATAAATAAGACAAGATATGTACAATATAAAAACTTATTCACAACACTGAAGCGTGAGGCTGAAAAAAAAATATATAGAAGATAAATTAATTAATTAATAATAAAAATAATATAAAAAATACATGGAAAATTATTAACGAAGCCATTAATCCAAATAGCTCACAAAAATTAACTAGTTTTTTAACAATTAATAATACAATAATTGATAATACAAAACAAATGTCAGATGTGTTTAATGAACACTTTGTTTCATCTTCTTTTGTCAAGACTTTGAATTGTAATGATTTTGTTAGTGCTATGCGATATATGCCACCTATTAATTCAAATTATCTTGATTCTATTGAAATAAATGCTAGTGATGTTCGGAAAACAGTGATGGATCTTAATAATTCTTTTTCCATTGCAGATGATGGTTTTTCAAATTATTTAGTTAAGCAAATTATTGATAATATCCTTACACCATTGACATATTGTTTTAATCTTTCACTCGCAAATGGATGCTTTCCTGCAAAATTAAAAATTATTCCAATCCATAAGAATAGATCAAAGGATAATGTTAACAATTATCGCCCCATTTCTTTAATAAGTACTTTTTGCAAAATTTTAGAAAAAATTATTCCTTCAAACCTGATGAGCTTTTTAAAAGAAAATGATATCATCATTTCAAATCAATATGGTTTCCAAAAAAAAACATTTCAACGGATATGGCTGTGCTGGATCTAAGCCAGCATATTATTACTAATATTGACAATAAACTTTCAACTATTGGGGTCTTCTTAGACATAAGTAAGGCTTTTGATTCAATTTCGCATGAATTACTTTTAAAAAAGTTATATCATTATGGAATTAGAGGTCAGATGTATAAATGGTGTTGTAATTATCTTGAAAATAGATGTCAATACGTATCAGTGCACTCATCAAAATCGTTGTTGTTGAAAATATCAAGTGGAGTGCCACAAGGTTCAATCCTGGCCCACTTTTTTCAATTTGTTTATTAATGATGTGGTTAACTCGTCAACCATTTTGAAGTTTGTAATGTATGCTGATGATACCACCTTGTTGGCTTCTGGAAAAAATGTTCTTAATGTTGCAAATAGAATGAATGAAGAATTAATTAAAGTATGTACCTGGATGAAATGTAATGGATTAAAAATCAACATTTCTAAAACATGCTGTTTACTTTTTGGTCCAACAATAATGACTAATCCTTGTAATTTTCAAATCACATTAGATGGTATGATTATTTCAAGAACATTTTCAACTAAGTTCCTTGATGTTTTTATCACAAGCAACGTAAATTGGAATGAACATATCATGTCAATTTCCAAAAAAATAAGTAAAAACCTTGGAATAATTAATAAACTAAAAATCACATTTCCCAAATATATATTGTTAAATTTATATTACACACTTATATATCCATACTTGAATTATTGTATAATAATATGGGGCAGAAACATTAAATCGCATTTGAATATTTTAATAAAACTACAGAACTATTTCATTAGAATATTTTTTGGTTTACGGAGATATGATCACGTAACTTCTTTTAGAGTAAATCTTAACATCTTAACTCCCACACAAATTTACATACTTACAACAACAACAACAACACACGTTTAGACGACATTTTCCCCGAGATCGGGGGTTGCCGTTTGGCTACCTATGATGAAACCATTGTCACTTCTGTCATCATAAGTAATTTATTTGGCTAATTTTTACGCAGGACGCCCTTCCTTATGCAACCACAGTTATAAGTTATAACAAATTTACATACTTAAAATTTTAATATTTTTTTTTCAAGTTATAAATTTCAACAAATGTCCACAATTTATTGTAAATTACATGGTGCATAATTTAAATGATAAACAAACAAGGCATACCCATGAGTTTCGGATACCGCAACATAGAACAGAATTATATAATCAGTCGATATTCATTTATGGATTGAAATTGTGGAACAATTTAAACGTTGAGATAAAGCAAGTGGATAATATATCTAAATTTAAAAAAATTATATTGAACCTTTTAAAAAACAATCATTTTGTCAATTATTATTAAATATTTTCATTTCTTAATGGTTTATAACAAATTTATGAGATTAACATTTTTATTTGTTTACACTGATGTAAAAGGTTTTTTTTATATCCGTGTTTGTTTAGGCAAAAGCGTGTTATAATTATTATTTTTGGATTTCAATAATTTTTCATTTAACTTATAATTTTGTTAGTTATCTTTCCTGGAATGAACATTAATTTTAATTTTCTTTGGTTCATGTTAATTTTTGATTTCGTTTTATTGCTTGATTTGATGCCGTTTTTTCTTGGTGGCCATATAAGCCTTTGCGCTTCTGGTCTCCGTAATAAATAAATAAATAAATCAAAACAAACTCATACAAATACGCATAACATAAACACAAACACATACACACGAACACATACAAACCCATAAAAGACAGATACAAACACATAGAAACACGTACACGGCACACACACAAACATGACCAACCTCACACTCGTATTTGATATGTTGGACGTACGAAGCATGGATCCTGGTGATCTCAGGCAGAAGGATGTCGTTCGTCAGGTCAAGGAGGTCGTTCACACTGTACACGTCAGATCCGTCCACAAAGTGGGGTCTGTGCTGTAACTGTTCGGTTTTTCGTTCGTTCGTTCGTTCGTTTGTCCGTGTGTGTGTTTGTTTTTGTTAGTTTGTTAGTTTGTGTGTGTTTGTTTTTGTTTGTTTGTTATGCAAGTGTTTGTTTGTTACTCATTAAAATTTGACGATTAACTAATTGACTGAACGATTGATTGATTGTGGATTGATTGATTGATTGTGGATTGATTGATTGATTGATTGATTGATTGATTGACTGATTGAGTGGTCAACTAGAAAAATTCAATTCGACTGAATCACGAGGTTGAAAAATATTTTCCATTAAATGATCCAACAGCAGAACTAAACAATATCCTAATTTACTAAATTAACATAAATTCTTTTCATTAACTAAATATTCATTTTTTCATAAAAACTTAAATTAATATAACAATTAACTAATTATTATACATGAATTAAAACTTGATACTTGCTAGCACACACACACACACACACACACACACACACACACACACACACACACACACACACACACACACACACACACACACACACACAGAACACACAGACACCGAAACAAGATAACACACAAAAATACAAACAAACACACAAACGATGCCCACCTTCGTCAGCAACTTCTCCTTCCGAGCTCTGGGACACTCGACGAAAAATTTCTTCATCATCAGAATTTCTATCCTTCGATTCTGTCAACGAAATGTTGTGGAAATCTAATAAATGTATCTTAATCATTTTCAACATAAGGTCGTTGACATTATTATATTGCTGAAAACGGTGAGTTGGATCCGGATGATAAACATCCCACTCCGACTTTGGCCCCTCAAAAAAATCCGACTCCCGAATCCGGTCCCTCCCATTCCGGGTTCCGAATTCCAGAAAAATTTTTCAACTTTTGTATTATAATCTCACTTAATTACCACTACTGAATGAAAAATACTTTAATAAACACTTGAAATCAGTCACTGTAATTGTTTTTCATAGTAACATTACTTCATTTTTATGCTTTACATCATACGGAATAAAATTATGTGATTCACATTATTAGCATCTATTTATTTTCAGTACTAAACCCGATTGCTACGTATATTTACCCTCTAAAAAATACAATCTTAAAAAAACTTGAAAAAAAAAATTAAAAAATTTTAAATGAGCAACAATTTCCGGATTTGGATGAAAAAATTCTGCCCCTAGAAAATTCCGACTCCGTCCGTACTCCGGTAAGAATAAAAAATCTCCAACCGACACTCTGGTTAAAAAACCCTGCAACTGGAAACGCAGGTCAAGCAGTTTGCAAATCTTTTTATATCCTCCAAACTAACTCAAAACGATTATTAATTAGTATAGAACGAACGACGAACCTTTACTTCATTGAGTTCCTCGAGGTAGGTGAAGAGCATTGGATTGATGGTCTGGATGTTGATGACCGGTCGGTTGGACATCATTCGGAGGAAAGATTTGCTGGCCCTGCACACCTGATGAATTCGTGGTCGGCTTGTTATTTGTGAAAAGTTTTAAATACGCAGTCAACAAACAGTTCGTTCCTTCACTCATCCATCCATCCATTCATTCAAAAATTAATAAACTAATCAAAAAAGCATTTGGATCTATCTGCTTGATGTCTGATGGTTTGCAAAACTTTCAACAGCCAGTTAGTTGATTGTGAAGTCATGAAGTAAGGAAGAACTTCGACTGCCACCACAAACAGACAGACAAACATTCTACCAATCAACCGACCGACCGACCAACCAACCAATCAACCAATCAACGAACCAACCGACCGACCAGCCAATCAACCAATCCACCCACCAGCCAACCGACCGACCTTCTTGAGATCGAAGTCCCAATTGTAAACGATCCTGGCGGGGATGGCCATGGAGTCATTCCAGTGGCACTTGTTGCAGTAGAAGAGACCATCGTAATCACACTGTCGAGCTTCATTCGTCGAAGGCTCTGCGACGTGATTGCATTGATGACCACGGTTTGCTAGGTGATACATTCAGACACGTTTAAAGGGTGGTACATGATTGAAATTATGATTGTATTTAAATGTGAATGACGCGTGAAATGAAGGGCATCTAACGAAATCCGATGGCAGCTTTGCATTCGTAGCATCTGTAGTTCTGCTGGTGAAGACCTTGTTCCGGGCAGATGTTCATCGTAAAACAGGGGTTCTCCGAGATCTGCTCGGGAATGCAATCAGGGATTCATTTGTTTGTAATTTAATTAAAGTAATTTGAGGCAGTAATAATACAACGCAGAGCATTTAAACATTTTACAAATTAGATCAATTCAAAATTGACCGAAAAAGAATTATTTTTTAAAGTAAATCCCAATTTTCTTCCAAGAACATTGAATTGAATCAACGACGATGAAAAATGTTCATGACGATTGAGTGTTGGTTGGACTGACTTTTGCAGTGGTGCAGGTCCTTGTGATGTCTGAGAGGCACTTCTTGTGGCAGCAGTAGTTGCAGGCTGTCATGGATTCGACAGTTAAATAGAGTGAGAACAAAAGATGCTTTCAATTAGAGAATGATTTTAAGTAACCTATTAAGTAACTAATTAAAAACAACAGTTCGTTTATTATTTCTAGTCCAACCTATCATTTAAACATCATCATCACCAACGACACAACAACACAACAACAACGTCCTACTTTTGCATTTGTGCCAAGCTTGAAATATGCCAAGGATGACGCCACAACAAACCTGGCAAGAGAGGTTTTAGTAGGGGTAAATAAAATATTTTCACTGTTTTACATTACTCCAATGGAAAAATTAAAAGAAAAACGGAACTAAATAAATGACGGATAAATTGGAGACAGATGAACGAAAAGGTTGAAAGTAGCACAAACACCAAATAATAACAACAGCAGCAGCAACCTCACAATAACCCTTCGATCTCCCCCACTCTCTCTCCTCCATGAGGTGCCCCATGATTGCCCTGCACTCCACATTCGTCCTCTCCTCACTCTGCCTCGCCATCTCACCATCCTGCGGAGAGTAAATATTTTTTCAATGATTAACAGAATTACAATCGGAAAATCACGTGGTCTTTAAATGTATCTAACTGCTCGTTCATACATTAATTTGTATATATATATATATATATATATATATATTTATTTATTTATATATATATTTGATTAAGACTGTCAGAAATGCAATTATTGATGAAAATCACAGCATATTCGGCGTTAGTAACAGTAACAGCACTGGTGCATGTTTGGTCGGAACTATGTACTGTCGCTGATGTCGTTCTTGGACATGCATGCTGGTCTCATGTTCTTTTTTATTGATTTATATTTTTGATTCAGATTTGCTATCAAGCTTAAAATTCTTTGATCTGAAATGATTGGAATTGATGCTTTTTGCCAGATCTGTTTTAATTCGGTTAAAATAAGTCGCGAAATGTTATTTACGCTAGGATCTTTTCCATTGGCACTTTCTTTTAGCAAATTCCTATTCCACAAATAACACTTCATTACGTCAGAGTTTGTAGGAAGGACATTTCCTAGCAAATCAGTAGGTAAACCAAAAACTTCACAAAATAATTCTTTACGTGTTTTAGGCATTTTATATTTGAAAAAAAAGTATAAAATCAGTTTGGTCGTCAATGGTAACTGCGAAAAGGAATCTAGCAAAAATTAGAGATGTGCATACAAATGAAATTGAATTGTTTCAGATTTATATATTAGTTTTCATTGTTGCTAAGCATAATCAAGAATTTTAGGAGATGTTGTGTACTGTGTAGTATTTTTGAGCAGAATCGACCATTTTTATACGTTAATAGTCGAGACTTTACTTGTGTTAATAGTGAAAATCTAAAGGAGCCTAGAGGAACCTCAAGACGTATACAAAAGTGGTTTAAATTTTAGTGATTTATTAATTGACCTAAAAGACATCTTTTGACAACACAGGCATTTGAAATTTCGAAAAAAAAATTTTTCACTCCACCCTAATGAGAAAGTCGCAAGAAAAAACGCTCGCGTTTAGAGAAGTCAGTGAGAAAACTTTGTTTGACATATCTGCATGCAAGTGTGGTGAAGATTTTGATAATTGTTTTTGTAAAAACAAAGTGCCTAAAAGAGAAAGAGATTTTTTAACCGACCAAAGAACAGTGCGTAAGATGATAATTGGCAATACAGATAAAAAAATTAGTCAAAGTCTACAGAAAAGTCTGGCGAGAAAAGCCAAAGAAGAAGCCAGATTGTCGAAGATTGAAGGTCCTTGTGTAAAAAAACAGAAATGTGACAACCTGGCTTTCGATGAAGTTGAAGAAGTTGAAGAAATAAAACAAATCAATTTTCCACCTGACTCTTCAGAAGAGTATAAACCATCCACACCAAGCCAGCTTAGAAGACCTTCTCCATCAAATTTTAGAAAAAGTGTTAAATTGCCTAACTTAGCCCAAGCGTGTGATCGAACTGGAATATCCGATCGATCGGCTTCACTGCTAGTCAACGCTGTTCTCCAAGATTTGCAAATAATAACAAAAACAAATTCATCTCAAATAGTGGATAGAAGTAAAATTAGGCGCGAACGAACAAAAAGAAGAGCCCATCTTCAAAATAAGTCTTTCAATGAATTCACAGCTGTTCGTGGACTTTATTTCGACGGGAGAAAAGATAAAACAATTCAACAAGATAAAAAAGGCACAAAATATTACAGAAGCACTGTAACAGAAGAGCATGTTGTTTTACTTTCCGAACCTGGTTCACTTTTCTTAGGTCATGTGTCACCAATGTCAGGAAGTGCTAAAAATATAACACTAAGTATAAAAACATTTTTAAAAGATGCTGATTCAAATATTAATGAGTTGAAAGCTATTGGGTGCGATGGCACGGTTATAAATACAGGGTTAACTAATGGTGTTATAAGGCAACTAGAATTGTTCATAGGTCGTCCATTACAATGGCACATTTGCTTGCTGCACACCAATGAATTGCCTCTTCGCCATTTAATTCAATTCCTAGATGGAAAAACAAGCAATCCAAGATGCTTCTTCTGGTGAAATTGGAAAAATGTTGGAAAACTGTGAAAAACTTTCTATTGCTGCTTTTGAC